TGATCCAAAGAAGAGCGAGGTGGAGGTTGGAGGGTGGAAGGTGGAAGGTGGCATGAGTGCCGCTTCGGAAGGTGGCATGATAGGGAGTCTGAAGTCAAAAGAGGCGGACGGGTCGCGGGCATTGCGCAAAACTGAGACAAAGACAGGGGACGGCGGACGGCGGACGGCGGACGGCGGACTGCGGTCTGCGGTCTGTGGGGGTGGGGGTGGCGATGATGATGATGATGGATCATTCCCCGTTTTTTTGGGGCCACTAACGGATGTGGCATGTGATGTGTGGCATGTGCCATGTGGCTCCATAGGATGTTCTTCTTCGACTGGCATCGGTCTCGTCTCGGCTCGGCCCGTCTCGGACCCTCTGTGCTGTTTAGCATATTCATTGTTGATTGCCGGGCCGCGATAATTATAATTCCTCCGCCAAGACCTCCGTTCTGGTCTTTTCCTGTGTTCTGCCTTTAATTACCTTCCTTCCAACGAGGCTTTTGCATAATTGCATTGTTGTTGCCGAAATCATCATTAGAATTTTTATTTGCACAATAATCAACGCGCGGTACAAACTCATGAAAAAACAGCGAACAGGGCCCCAAAAAATCCCCAAAGTGCATTGTATTTGTGCAATGGCAGAGAATTTTTTGGTTTTTTCTGTTGTTGGATGGGGAGTGGGGGTGGGGTGTGGGGGGAGAACACACAACCAGAACAATGAGAACGAAATGCGTTCATCAAATGTTTGCGGTCTGTTTGCGAGTGTTTTGTGTGTGTTTTTTTTGTGGGAGTGGATGGACGGCGGTGGATATTTCGTTGCAGAACTGCAATTGACAAATGATGCTGCAGCCATTTGTGGGGCAGGGGGAGGAACCCCACGAGAGGATGAGCCCAGTTTGGGGGCGGACCTTGGATTACTTTGAGTTGCATTTCATGCACTCCATGGCTGTAATTAGGAGCAGGAAATCCGACCTGATACTGTTAATCCATCCGGTTTTGTTTACAGCACTTAGCCGTACTTAAGCAAACGCTCTAGAGGTCAGCCCTTCGGTGACCCTGAATGTAAGATCTTCTGCGCACAACTTCGACTGCTCTTTCGGATCCGCTGCCAGCCGCTTCCCAGAGTCGAATTATAAAAAAACATTTCTAAACAAATTTAGTAAATTACAGCATTAGTCGCATTAGAGCTGACAAAAGAATGGGAAAAACCGAGTGAAAAATTGCGTTTATGCTGGGGGCAAGTGTCATATCACATGGTGGACGGAGGCATGGAGTGGAGTGGAAGCCAACGGGAAGCCAACATTTATGAGACCCCCGCAATTACTTGATCATTGTTTTCGTCACGTATTAAACCAATTTTCAAATATGAAGAAGCGTTGCTTTTGTTGCCGCCGCTGATGATGGAGAGGCTACCCAGACGCTACCTTCAAATGGGTAAAAGTCAAGGTCGTGTGTGGGGTACGGTCACAGCGTGTGAAATCTTCGGAAATTGATGGGGGGGCCATTAGATAGCGCTCCGAAGAGCCCCCGCCCCCGCCCCCGCCAATTGGGAAATCCAACCTGCTTACAGCAGTACACTGGAGCGTACACACACGACCAACACCCAATGATAATAAGTGCTATCCATAAGGCAGTGCGGGCTGATGCCCATACTCAGAGCCTGGTCTGGTCTCTGGTCTCTGCAAATTTAGAGCCAAGAAACTGCACTCGAAACTTGCGCTGATTAAGGGAATTTCTCACACAATTCCACCGCCGCCGAAACTTGCTCTCAAGCCCAAGCCATGAGCCACGAAAGACGTTTCGTTTCGTTTCGTTTCGTTTGGCAATGTCTATTGCCAGTGCTCTGGTGCTCTAGTGCTTTGCTTTTCTCGAAGGTGAACCAGAATGCAGTCCGGAGTCCGGAGTCCAAGTCAAAGTGTCTCAGATTCAGTCCCAGGTCTCTATGGTCTGTGTCGATCTCTCAAGCAATTGAAGCGCATTGAATGAGCCGTCGGAGCCGTCTCCCAACCGGATTGCCACCGCCACCGCCGCTGCCACTGCCACTGCACATCTTTTGAAAGTGAGCGGCGGCTGCGGCCCCAAAGACTGCATCAATTCTAGACCAAATGAATGTCTCTTGCCAAAGGCAGCAGCTCTGCAAATTTATTGCAGCATTTTATTTTAATTAGTTTAATTTATGATAATTTTTTTCAAATCGAAATTAAATGCTGTCACACAGCCACAGGAATTGCATAAGTAACATCCGCTGGGAGTGACATTACAATCTCCTGCCCGAAGGGTTTTCGGGGCAGCGATGAGCAAGGGGAGGCCCCGTGGGATATGGGGGTCAACAGGTCATGGGTTTTACTTAAAGATGCCAATTTTCCGTTCAAATTTTGACAAGGAAAAAGGAAGGTGTCTTTCCCCTTTTCAGCGTGTCGTTCCTTGCTCTTCTCACACTGCTTTTCCTTGTACTGCTTGATGCTTTCACTGCTTGATTCTACTTCCACGACTACTGTCTTTTCTGTTTTGCACTGCTTTATTATATTCTTTAAGAGTCATTTTTTTCTTAAAGATTCGATGTGATTGCCTAGAAAAGAATCAATCTTAACCTTCTTTGAAATATACGAAGGGATGACTTCCAAACAGTTTAAATATTAAGCCATCGATGCCCCTTAAGGTCTTAGGTACTCCACAATCGCCTTCTTATCACGTTCCCTGTACAATTTCTACAGAATAGATGGGACGTTTCCTCAATGAACTTAATATATATGAACCAATTTTCTTTTATTTGATTTCCCTCTTATGTGGGTCCTCTGTTGTTGTTTTTGTCTGCTGCTTTCCCTCTTTTCCCTTTCGCTCTGTCTCCCCCGAGTAACCAGTGCGAATGCCAGTCGAGAGTGAAGTGAGTTCGTTGCCTAAGTCTTTCGTTTATCCGCCGCTAATGAGCGAACATTTCGCACCAGCAAGCGGCAAGCGGCAGGCGGCAATCGACAGGCGGCAATTAAATGGAATCGGAATCGCCGTTAAGTTGGCCAAGTGGCAGTGGCCGGGCCATCATCAATAAGCTGAAATTCGCACTAATTTTTGCCTTTGCTTTGCTTTGCTTTGCTTTGCGACACACTGCCAAACAAATAGCCAAACAAACATCCAAGCAAAAACCAAACAAAAGCCGGTGGCAGCCGCACAGAGAGTGGGCCTCTTCTTAGCCATGAACGAGAGCCATGGGGCTGGGAGAGAGACACCCGAAGCAGCAACGAGGCATCAATGGCCACGATGATTTAGTTTTCCAGCTTCGGATTGGGATTCGGATTCGGATTCGGCTTTGGCCTGGGCCTGGGCCACGATGCGAAGCGACGCGACGCGACGCGACGATGAGGTTGCTCTTTGGCAATTCCAGCGCCGATGATGACGCTGTGCATTTTTGTGAGCCAGCCTCGTGCGCTCATCTATCTGTCCGTGGAGACCCCGGACAACCCCGAGCAACGCGCTCTCGAGTATAAAACTAAAATTGATGCGAATTTTTGTCTAACTTTTGCATCAACTTCAAACGCGGCCACACGTGCACCCCAGACGCTCCAGCTCCAGCTCCAGCTCCAACTCCAGCTCCAGCCTCAGTGTTCGTTAAGAAGTTCGCTCTGAAGTGAGTCCCAATCAGACACGGATACGATCTGTTCGATGCAGTGAGCGTGTGTTTTGTGCGTGGCATTTAGATTAGTTTTTTTTTTGGTTTTGTGCTCAAGTTTGAGAAATCAACAATTACGCAAATTGGTTCCCATGAGGAGCCCCACAAGTGCGGCATAAACTGACCAACACAAGTATCGTGGCAATAACCGATTAGAATATCCAGAAAAAGGAAAAGGGTACCTTAGGAACCCTCTTTCAAGAGTAATCCTATCTCTGGAAGCGAATCAAAGCGGTGCTTTTCTTTGGAGGAATATGTGAACGACTTTGAAACAAACATTTAATGATCATTCCTTCGAGATAAAAGGGTAATTGGATTGGGAAATTCTCCTGTGGTTCACCAACAACAGAAGCTCAAAGTTTGTATTACTCCAACCTTGTCCTTAAACTATTGTTATTTACAATGTAATGTCATCCCCGATTCTGAGGGGTTTCCTCGGTTAAATGATGCAAAATCAAATGAATTCTTAGGCAGATCAATCATCGATCATCCGCAAGATCAGATGCCATTTTAACAGGTCATCATTTTGGGTAAAATGAAATGTTATTTGGCTGTTATTTGGTTAAGTTTTTCACTGATTTCCTGGGGACTCGATATGGGTTTCCATTCCCCAAAGCCATGATCGCCAAAAGAACGCCAGTGGATTACTCCTGTCATAAACACAACATTTCCCAAGTGGCAGCTGCCATAATAGCCAACAGCAAACAGCAAATACCATAGCCGAATGAGCCATCAAATGCGATGTAAACAATTTGAAGTATTCTCAATTAAGATTCATTTTGTGGCCATGCCATGCCATGCCAGGCCATCCATTCGCCCGCTACAAAAGTGAATGCAAACGGCAGCTGCAAGCTCCCCAGAAAACATCCGAAGAAACAGCAGTACCCGAATCTCCATTAGCGATTCCCCTGCCGCCTCCCCCCTTCCTCCCATGCCGCCTCTGATGAGTCACAATAAACATATAGATATAAAATCGAATTATGTATCTGCCACAGCCACAAACCATCCCAGAAAGACCAGCAGAAGAAGAAGATGCTTCGGCAAAAGATTTCCTTTCTAAAAAACACAGCAAATTTAAATCCTCGACTCGTTTTCTTTCGATTTTCGTTTCGTATCTTTAGATAGTAACAGAAAAAATCACATTTAAATTACGTATTACCCCCGAAAGAAACAAAAACAACAACAACAAAATCCCCAAATAAAAACCCGAAAAATCACAGACATCATGGAAGCAGCAGCGAACAAATCACCGCAGCAGCAGCAGCAGCAGCATCTGCAACATCAGAAGAAGCGGCAGCAACACAGACAGCAGCAGCAGCAGCAGCAGCAGGGGCAGCAGCAGCAGGGGCAGTGGAGCCTCGGCGGCATCTCCACGTACCACTGCCTCGGCCTCCTAATGGTCGTGTTCGGAGTACTCTCGATGCTGCTCGCAGGGAACTGTGTCAATGGGGTAAGTCATCGCAAAGAGTCGTCTTCCTCCCCCAGAAGAAGACCCAATGGCCGGCGGTCGTCGGTCGTCGGCTGTCGGATCTTTTGAGGCTTTTATGGCTGGCAATTATGGCTGTAAAAAGGGATTTTATGAGCTTGGGAAATGGCTTATTGAATTGAATAATTTCGTTTGGTGCTGCAATGTCTGGCACATTGATTTGACAACTTCATTGGTTGGGGAACGATCTCCGCCTCAGCAGCAGCAAAAAAGTGTCATCTCAGATAGTTTCCTACATTCATTCGGAGTAAAAAGATTGCGCACACCATTTGTCTCTTGTTTGATATGGATCTACACGAACCACCCGTGCAACAGCCACCCTGCAACAGCAACAACAGCAAACTCCCACGCAAAGTTGCAGCCACAGCAACAGCAACAGCAACAACAACAACATCCACAAAAAAATAACAATTGTTGCCACAAAACAAAAAATAGACCAAAAAGGTGGCTCAGTCTCAGTCTCAGTCTCTGCCGCGCCGCGCCGCATCTACCATCGTCTTCTTTTTGTTGGTGTTGCAAGTGCAACAAAAAGAGGCTGCAAAAGAGGATGCAGAGCAGGGGGTGGGGACAGCACACGAAGCAGACAACCAGACAACCAGACAACCTGTCTGCCAAAGTGTTAGACATCTTCTCACGTCCAGAGGTAACCCAAAAGCTCCCTCAAGACTCCTCTCACTCTTCTTTCTCTCTCTCTCTCTCTCTCTCTCTTTCTATAAGAAGGTGTCGTCATGGGGTCTTTCCATTGAGGGTACTCCTGCCCTGACCACAAGGAGTGACTGTGATACAGATTTTGATATGATTTAGGAAGAGAATCCACAGAGAATCAGTTTTGATCAGATCTTTACTTCTTGAAGTTGAAGGATGCTGTCCAAATAATGCTCAAGAGCCCCGTCTACCCGAAGTCTAGCCATTACCAGTGTATTCCGCAAAAGTTCCTCAAACAAAACCCTTCCATAAGAGCACCCAACATTCGTTGTGCATCGGATCTCCAGCTCGTCTCCAGCTCGTCTCCAGCTCGTCTCCTAGCTCGTGTTACATTATCAATTAGCCTTGGTTACCCCTTGGTTACCGCGCTTGGCAAACACAAGCAGACAAAAGAAAATGCAAGGGAAAATTAACCATTTTCCATTTGTTAGTCCAAACTCTTATGCCAGAGGGCCCCCGGGCCCCATCTCGCGCATCTCCCTCTTCGTCCGCTTTGAGCGAATTGGTTGGTATTTAAAGGAAAACGCTCTCTGGCCAAAGGTTGAGACTTGCCAGTCGTCAGAGCGGGGGGGTAATTGGGGAGCACAGGGCGGATGTGGAGTGTGGGGCTGTCTGCCTTTTTGGGTTACTGAGGCAATGGGCGGTCTATATAGTTTGCTGTTTTGGGCTCTTTTTCGCTGCAGTTGGAGCTGGAGCTGTAGCTGGAGCTGGAGCTGGAAAATGTTAAAAACCTCAGGAAAGTTATTAGCGTGAAAATTGGCCAGCGATTGGGAAAAGCTGAAGCCCAAAAAAGGGGGAAAAATCACTGCAGTAACAAGCACATCGAAATCGAAATCGAAATCGAGAGGCAGAGACAGAGACAGACAGAAGGTGCATCCCATTCCGCGGAGGGGCACTGAGAGAAATTTATGGGGAGATGGATTGGAAACTAATGGCACCTCTAGGGAGCACAGAGGAGTCAAAGAAGTGAAAGATAAGGGCTCCCCCACGGCAAGATTTCCCACAACTAAATCCATTGCCTGCCATAGTATTATTCCGAGCACCATCCCCATTCCCAGACCATCAAATCTTTGCCCATAACCAATCCGCAAGCAACGTTTGCAATGTTCCGACATTAGCATAAACACCGCATTAACCCACACAGAAAAGACAGGCAAACTTTAACCCTTTTTAAAAGAGATCTTCTCCAAGGAAGCCCCAACCCCCCATCTCCCCCATCGCCCAGGCAAAAGAGGCAGAAATGAAAGGTGGATTTACTTGAGCGTAACAGCAATGGAGGGGCACTACAATGGGGAGGGGGGGGACTGCATTTAGATTAGAAATTGAGGCAAGATCAAGATAGGCCATGAAGATGCAGCATGTGTACATCTGCATATGTAGATGCCACCAAATGAGGCTGGAACCGATGGATGATGAGACAAAAGAATCGAAAGACAGAGAAGGGTGCCACAGTGCCACAGTGCCACATACTGGTCGGGTCGGGTCGGCTCGGGTCGGTCACATCGTGTGTGTCGTGATCCATGATGATGAGGTGGCTGCCACGCTTTATTGTTTCTCTTGTTTTTCGGTGTGCTTTTCATGGTTTCGTACGCATGAGATTGACAGTTGGTTGTCACATACTCACCCCCACCCCGGCCCCCTCGTCACCCCTCGGCCCCCGCTTGTTGCAACTGTTGCAAGTGCACAGATTTTCAACACTCACTGATTCTTTTGTTGGTTTTTTTTGGTGGGGAGGGGGGTGGGGGCTGTTGCATTTGCATTTTAGATTTTTCGTTGTGTGGCAATTGTTTCAAATTGTAATTTTGTGATTGTTTAGAGTTCATTTCGTTGGTGCTTGGGCAATGTGCAACCCCAATCCAGTCCCACTCGCACTCCCACTCCCACTCGCACTCCCACTGAAGGTCGCCAGCGATGAGATAATTCCCACCACAGAATCATAATACCAATTCGGTATAGTACTTATGAATATTGTCCTCGTTTTTGGCCAGCAAATCGATGGCTACATTGCTGGCGAGGACTATCCAGCGTACGATGCGGTGCCCAAGGGTCTGGCCTTCAACTGCCAGGGACGCCAGCCTGGCTACTATGCGGACACAGAGACGCGTTGTCAGGTGAGGATTGTGCTGGAGGAAACCCATCGAAGCTTGCAACTAAATTGTGTTTACGGTTCTCTCGTAGGTCTGGCACTGGTGCCTCCATTCTGGCCATCAGTACTCCTTCCTCTGCCCCAATGGCACTGTCTTCAATCAGGCCGTTCGTGTGTGCGATTGGTGGTCGAATGTGAACTGCGCCAGCTCCGAGCAGCTCTACCAGAACAACGATGAACTCTACCGCATTCCAGAGCGCAAGCAGCAACAGCAGCAGCAGCAGCAGCAACAGAACGATGTATGATATGAGGCCGATGATGAGTATAAGATTGGGACAGCAAATGGAACCAGAGAGCGGGGCGGCAGACAGCGGCAATTTCAGCAAGCACAATACAATATCAATAGCAACAGCAACAGCAACAGCAACAGCAACACTATCAACACCAGCAGCAGCAGCAGCAGCAGCAGCAATAACAGAATCCTAGATAGCAGCGACTACAATAAAATGACCAAAAATAGTTTTAGAGGTAGCATGAGATACAGTACCAATCCTCAATCAACATACTCATCATCACAGCAGCAGAAGCAGCAGCAGCAGAAAGAGAAGCACCATCAGCAACATAATTCTAGTAAAGGTAATAGCGAAAGGAAATCAAAGCCTAGCAGTAGCAATAAGCAGAACAATAGGGGTAACCATAGTAGAGTAGAGAGCAACCAAACTAGATCTAGGAATCGCACCACTAATCGCACACATCACAACAACAGCAGCGGCACCAGCAGCAGCAGCAGCACCACCACCAGCGGCAACAGCAAGAATCAGAAAAAAAAGAACAACAGCAGCAACAATCAGAAAAAGAAGAACAACAGCGGCGGCAGCAGCAGTAGCAGCAGCAGTCCACGTGGCATGCAGCGCTACAACACGAATCAATTCGAAAACGATGCAGAGCTCAAGGACTACAAGAGCAAAATCAAGAACAAATACAACATCGACTATGATCATTCTTTAGATGAAGAATATGAAATAATCGAGGCCATTGAATGAATTGATTTGGCCGGATACGCGTTGTTCTCATTGTTTAAAAACATTAAACGATAAAAGATAACCAAAATTGGCGCCAACTTTGTGACCTCTTCTTTGGACTCTGTTCAAATGTTTCCCAAATTTTTTTTTTTTTTGTACATACATACATACATATATAAAAATACATCCTTATCATTGTTAAATACCAATCACATTTCATACTCATTTAAATTTGTAAAGAAAAACGTTTGCTTGTGATGTGAAACAGTAAAGGAATCACACATGAAATAAAATTTGAAAAATGAATAACCGCCTCTGAAACGCCTAAATAACGGCTTTAGAAGAATGAATATAAGCAGTGCAACGAATAACTGTTACAAGCAGTATATGCATAGCAGCCAGCTATTGGTGGTGAGTAGTGCAAGCAGTCCATACATAGCAGCCAGCTCTTGGTGGTGAGAAGTGCAACGAAGCAGTGTAAGCAGTAGGTTCATATCAGCCAGCTCTTGGTGATATGTAACTAGCTTAGCTACTAGCTATTGTCAGCGAGCGCTTAACGTCAGTTAAGCGCCAACGGAAAATAGATGTATTCAACGGAAAATTATATAGAAAACACTAACGTTTCTTCTGCTAATAAGATACGTTTATACTTGTTACCTTATTTAATGACACTTTCCCATTTACTAAACATTTCACAAAGTTTTTACATCTGCTTCATCTAAAATCTTTTCGAGGTGCTATATAGTCATCCCCCTCACACATTCACCTATCTAGCTGTGAACTTCTTGCTGTTCCGATCCAGTTCCAGTTCGCTTCACCGACAGACAATTTGAGAGAGAGGGAGAGATTTCTGAGAGCAGCTTTCCAGCTGTCAAAATCATTTGTTTGCACTCTCTTGGCCCGATCGTGTTTTATAATTTATAATTTATTTGTACGGCGATAGAAAAATGAAATGCCTACGGAAGTGTGGATAAATAATGCGGTAATTATGGCAAACAGTGAAACCGTCTTATCGGAAAGGTTTATTTTCTTTGGAGTTACGCACGAGAGTGGAAATATTGCCAAGTCAGCTGAAAATTGAGGCTGCGGCGAAGTGCACGAAAAACTGGCCCAAATGGAGGGGGAAGGGGAATGGCTGTCGGAGCTCTCGAGTGGAATGGTCGCCCTTCACTGGCTCAAGCTCTGGCTTAATGGAAATATAGTAAGATCTGTGAAGGAAGGCAGGAATTATTAAGAAAATGTTTTGTGGCATACTATGTGGATACCACATCCAAGAAAGCCTTCTCCAGTCAAGAACTTTGCAACGAAGCGCCTCAAAGTTGTGGTAATGACTAGCCTAAAGAGAACTGTATCCAATCCCCACAAATACTTAAATACAGAAGTATTTAGCCCGAAACCAAACCAGTTACACTCCTCTCCCTCTCTGTCTCTCTAAGACCCCCGTGACATCCAGCTGCATAACCAAAATTCAAATTCAAATTAGGAGGAAATACTCGGAGTAGAGTTGAAGAAGTAGTTCAAGTTTTGTATGCCAACACCTGAGACATGCCATTTCCGCATCAAATACAAAACATATCGGTAATTATATACCACATATACTTGTATACCGGTCGCCATCGTACACCTACGCAATGCCACTCGTTCGTGCATAAGAAATAAGCCTCCAACTGTGATGCGGAAATATCATCGGAGCCCCGGCCCGGCCCGGCACGGTCTTTAGGCAAATGAACGGAGAAACAAAATCAAAGCAAACGGAGAAACAAAAGCAGAAAAAAATCCTAATTAAAAGTCAATTCCAATTTCAGTCATTAACCGAAAGCCGAACAAAATTTGACACAATTTTGTGTACCATTTTGTGGCCCAAAGACACCTCTCCTCTTCTCTCCTCTATCCCCGCAGCACTCCTACCTGAAGCCTCAGGCAAATGTTTTTTTTCTTGACCATTCACCGGTGGTATTGGTGGTGTTGGTCACCCACATTCGGGTTTGTTTCCCTACGCCACGTTTTTTAATGGCTAAGACAACCACAAGACAATAATAATGGCTGCAACGAACTGGTAACTGGAGTCGAGTTAACACCATTTTCATTATGTAAGAGCCTACTCTTGAACAATATTTTTGTTTTATTTCGTTTCGTCTCTTTGTTACCGCTGGTCTGGTGGGAAGTGTCCACTAATTAATATGCAACTAAATAATTTACAATGTGACGCGAATTTTATGCAAAATATCCTAACGAAATATGATCCACACAGAAAGAGAGCTAGAGAGAGAGAGACATATACTAGAGGGGGACATGGAAAGAGAGAAGAGAGAAACAAAATACAAATTATTTCATTAACTTGACTTGAAAATGTTGAAATTGTCTTCAACAAATTGCGAAAATTCAATTTATGAACAAGATAGGCATTTTAAGGTGGCATAAAGAATTTTGAATACTCTAGAAAGTACGGAAAGGGAATCAGAAAAGGAAAGACTTGACGCATATGATGTCTGATCCATGATCATTCATACTATCTCTTAAAATTGTCATCCGATAAGAGAATTTTCCAGGTAATGGCAGGTAACGGCTTTGATCTATCATTTTCGCAGAAGAGTAACCAAAAGTAAGCACTACCCCATAGCCAAGAAGAAGAGTAACAATATCGGCAAAATGTCAGAAGGTCTTTCAAGGTATCTGGTCTCGAAAAACCGGTAGATCCACGCACACATAATCCCAGCGGTCAGCGGACACCAGAGCGGACATCTTGTGATCATCATCATCACTCTACGAGTACGTACGGGTCCGCGTACGAGTGTGTGGAGAGGCTTCTGCTTCTACGAAATCTTCTTAAAGTCTTGCCTTTGCCTGTCCAGCAGTCACATTGAAACTTGTCCATCCATTATCTCCGTTTCGCTTTGGGTCTCGAGTAGCGGGTCCCTGAGTTTTCCGATTTTATGCGACAATTCAACTTCAGCATTTACAAAAGTTTTGCATTCGACCGATGGCCAGGAAGAGACGCACTGGCACTGCCACTGCCACTCGCACTCCTCCTCCTCCTTGATCACCAGTGAACGGACGAAGGCAATCCACTTTGTAAATAATTTTTGCAACTGGTTTTTGTATTTTTTTTCTGTCTGCAATGCAACTTGGGGTTTTTTGTGTGTCGTTCGCATGCGTTTTGAAATTAATGTAAAACATTTCGTTATGGTTTGTTTTCCCTCTAAAAGACTACTCCTCGGGTTTCGAGCAGCCTGTCCATCGGTGAAGTTGAAGTTGATTTGTGTGCTTAGTATAATTGCTGCGATTATCGAAGAGGATTGCTGAAGAGGAGTCGAGTCGTTTCTGCCTCTCATCTCATCTCATCCGCGGTCTTCAGAGTCTGGTCTCTGGTCTCCGGTTGTCTTGCCTCGTTTGGGGTAAGGTTAAGTCGCTTTTCGTTAAGCGATTGTCAAGTGTATTCAAATCCAAAAAGATGCACACTCTTTTTGGCCAGTTTTGACTGGGGTTTGTCTCTTCAATTCGTCAGTTGCTGACAGGAGGGGCAGTGGCGTCGTGTGGTCCGAAGGGGGGTAAAACGTGAAGTCTCTGGTTCAGGTTGAAGGTGGAATAAAGAGATAGTTCAATATCAGGGTTGATTGATCTTTGATTGATTGATTGACGTTTAATTTGAATCGTTTTAGATCAGAGTTCGATAGTTAGAGGTTAAAATTTGGGTTTTATTTAAGGAGTTTATTGTGGGACTTGAGAGGTCAATGATACGTTGAGTATTGTATGGAAATATATGTAAATTTGATGATTTAAGAGAATAAATATACAGAAAAGCATTCCAAAATACACACCGATATCATTTCTAGGCATGAAGGATTCTCTACCATCCATAGAACTCCCTTTCACAGAGCTCCGATCTATAGATCACCCATCCCCATCCTCTCCATAGATCTCCTACCCATAGATCTTCTTCACTCCTCTCTTTCGAGTCATTACCCAATCTCCATTTGATTCAAGGTTTCCCCCATCCAACAAATTGGATCTTCTTGCGCCCCCGAACATATACATATTTCTCTCGATTAGCATATAGTCAATTTAATCAAACAACCATTTTCTATGCTAATCAAGCACTTTTGACCTGCCTCAAACCCGCGCACACTAAATTTCCATATAGTATACTCCATCGTTGGACAAATCTGCCATTTACTATTTACTATTCACCATTTTGTGGTCACACCTTTTGCTCCAGTTTTCGGGCCATTTTTCGCAATCCAATTTGTTTACTCTGCTTGGGATCATCTTCGTTCGTTCGTTCGATTCAAATTAATTTTCAATCAAATTAAGGCGAAATTAGTTTTGTTTTACTTCTACAGGGAGCCCCGAAGATAAAGCGATTTTCAAAAGAGAAAGAAGAGAAAGAAAGGAAACCAATGCGCGATGCTCTACACAAATTAACATAATTAAGGTGCCTCAATGCTCAATGAAAGACGAACCTCAATCAACACCGCTATCGAATGCAAATGAGCCCGAGACCAAATACCAAATACCATCCATGGAGGCGACATCACTCAACGAGCCGAAAGCCAAATGTGCAGCATCACATCACAGCAGCAGCAAAACTTAAAGCCAACAATTGCATAATATTGTATGCCCGTGAAGACAGCAGGAAGGAGAGGTTGAGGGTAGCAGACACCGGAGGAAGCGTTATATAGAGAGGCATTATATAGACGACCTCATTTACCCATAATCGCAATCGGTTGATCAAAGATTCAGAGAGTCAGAGAGTCAAAAAGAGAGAGAGAGAGAGGGATACAAACAAACATTATGGATCTATGGGTAATACTACATCAGGTGTGCCTCCATGTGCTGGACGTCTTCAAGATCTACTTAAAGTTTGCATTCCTCACGCTGATCGTCTATCTGGTGGCCGAGTGGTACATCATACGCTATGGCGCCGAACTGGAGGCCCAACTGGATGCCCATCTGGTGGAGGGCGCCGAGCTGCCGGAGGACACCGCCGAGCGGGCCGCCTCGAACAGCACTCTCGGCAAGGTGTTTCGATTTGTGGTGAACTTTTTCATCCTATAAACAGGTGATGGTGATGGTGATGGATCGACTGAATCGAACCGAACCGAACTGAACCCAGTAGCCAACAATCCACTGAAACCAAGGTCAATCACGAAGTGGAATCGGTTTTCTGTCTTTCGCGGAATTGTAATTCGATTCAGCGTTCAGCAGGCAGCAGGCAACATCTCAAGGCTCCGCCCCGTTAAGAGAATGTAAAAAACTTATGATACAATCGAACCAGTTGCATTAAACCACAACAACAACAACAAAAACAAAAACAATAAAACAATAACAATAAGGAGCTGTAAAAAACAAGTTGAACGGCTTTTTACTGGGGACTGTGGTTACAAAGGGGATGGGGTTGGGGTTGGGGGCTGAGGCTGAGGCTGGGACTGGGGTGGAGGGTTCCTTGATATAATTACAACAAAATTTACATTGCATTTGGATTTCTTTTGGTCAACAGAATTACAGACTAACAATGACTCAAAACAGATTTTAGGGTGAGGCTGGCACGAATTTGGGCCAATTGTTGAAAGAACCGAAAACAAAAGAACAGTCACCACGGGACCGCCAGAAATTCCAATAAAAAACAGAGTATTTGTGCACTTAATTTAAATGCAAAATAAACTGAAATTTTGTACTTTTTTGGGGGTACTTTGGGTACTTTGTGAGCAACATTCAGCAGAGCTGGAGATCCTTTGTTGAATTTGAAATGTTCAAAAGGTAGAAGACCCACGGAGTACTTGTGGCTGAGCACTGAGTGCTACCGCAAACGGTACTCTTATAAGACCCATAAAATTGATATAAATAACAATTGGTATTATCTGATCTTTTGGAGATGTGGCAGTACCTCTACTTAGGTGTAAAGAACAGGACAGAGAGCGCCATTGCCTTAAAGAGTAAAGACTTTTTCTCCATCTTCGCCAAGCCTTCAGCTGTGCACAGAATATAAAGGGGCCGATGGTCTGAACAGCTTATTCTTCGATGGGGTTTGACGTCCTCAAACATGGCCTGTATCTTCTGAGCCTCGTCCTCAGCGGTCTCTGAGACAAAGACACGAGCCACCATTCTCGACCGGACTCTTCGGACTCCGTTAGGTTGTGCTCTATGTGGCGCTATGTCTTTTCTAGTATAAACATTGTATCGAATAAAGAAGGAAGAGTCCTAAAAAGAGTCATAAAATTCTCTTAACAACCCATCAACTGTTCCGTGGGTGATCACGGCTGTTGAGGTAGTTACATCGCAAATTTTGTTTATGAGTGGCCCCCAATACAATACCTAATTTTTGTCTCATGCTAAATACAAAAACCCTGTCGCACAGTGTTATTATTTGTCTGCACTTTTTACGGCATTAGGAGACGACAGAAGAGCTTACATTAAAGGCTGTGCAAATCGGAAGCCCAAATCTTTGGCTTCTCCCAGAGCTCCAGGCTCCACCATTTCTTCGTAAAAGTTCCATTAGCCACCACATAAAATCTCCACAGACCAGAGCTAATCCGACTACCATTTGAGGCAAGTATTATAATAAAAATTACCCCCAAAAATTACTTTTTTATCAGGGGACTATCTAAAGCAGCGAAACATTAGTGGAACGATCGATCTGTAATGGTGCAGAGGAGGTAGTAGTAGGTTGTTGAAATGCTGGTTGGTTGCTTGGTTTGGTGGTTTTTTTTTTTGTCGACCAGTTAAGTTAAGTTAAGTTACAACACGTTGACGCTGACGTTGTCGCCGTCGCCGTCGCTGTCGCTGTCGCAGTCACCGTCGCAGACGCAGACGCAGTGGTAGTGTGTGCTACCTGCAACTGCCACTGCCACTAATGTGGAATACCGGTTCAACAAACCGTTCAGCAACAAGCAACAAGCGACAGCCGACGAGCGGCGACCCACACACACAGTGCTCCCATTCTCATACAGATATGGGGAGAGACCAGATACAGTATATAGAGGAGTGGAGTAGGGAGTATGGAGCATGGGGTGTGGGGTATGGGGTATGGGGTACGGGGTATCTGTGTAAGTGGAATGGATGAACGTGTAACTAGATCGGAGGCACACGCCGCAGCGGGCAGCACTCGACAATTCCATTCCGCATGCTACAGATACTCGTACGAGAAGCGGTTTTGGGTCTGTTCCAATTTGAATACCAAACAAACAAAAAAACAGTCGCCGACTTGAGTTCAATCCGCTTGAGTAGAGATTGCTTTTGGAATTGAGTTTAGTTTTTCCAAATTCAACTTTCACACACGGAACGAAACGCAGATGCAGATGCAGATGCAGTGCAGTGGCAGTGCAGTGGCAGTGCAGTACTTTGTGACGCAATGGAGAGACAGAGGCGGAGATACATACGTACATATATGCCATAATCCCCCCCATCGACTGATTGATTCCCCGAGCGAACAGAGTCTCGTTAATGCTTAGCATTATTTTGCATTCGTATCGAAATCCAAACTGCACTCCAAATGGCCTACGGCTGCGTCTGCTCGTCCAACATTTAATTGCTAAACGAAGCGAGCCACTCGAGCGGACCACGGACCGCGGACCATGCGGCGTATGCGCAATAATTCATGAGCCGTTTAAATTATTTTTGGTTTATTTTCGGTCTTGTGTATGTGTGTGTGTGTGTGTGTGTGTGTGTGTGACTAATGCCTTGGCAGATGGCTTAGTGTCGGGGTTTTGGGCCAAGACTCGGTTCATTAATTGAACTGTAACCGTCATTTTGGATGGCTTTTTGCTATTGTTTCCCATTATGTCATTGCGGTCAGCGTCAGAGGAAAGGCGGAGGAAAAGGCATTCGAAGACTTGTACAAATACATCATGCATATTAGTTGGTAATCGATAATAGATCATGAGCAATTTGTTAAGTAATTTATAAACAGGGCGAACAAAAAGAGCCAAACAATGGATAAAAGGGAGGTAAAATACATTGTCATTACAATTGTTCCTTGTCTCTCTTTAAATGAAATATTTCATTGCATTTCATTGTGTCCATGCCTTTAACATAATTTTAAAACTTTAAAAAAACCTTCCATCGAAATTCCCTTAAAAAAAATAGTAACAATTATGCCACAAATTGCTCACTTTGGGGGGACAAGACAGGCATTAATTTTTGTTACATTTTTACCATATTTTGCAAGAAAAATGAGTCTGGGTAAAAAATCTTAATCAGTAAACCTGTTAAGCACGATTATCGAGCAGCGGCGCACACGAGGCCCGCTCCAAATGCAGAGCAAAGTCACAGGGAAAAGGCACAACAAGCCACTCAGAAAAGCAAAAGAAGCAAAGACGCAAAGTCACAGAAGCAAAAGTACGGATCAAAGGTATAGAAGGTCTGTGCTTCTGCAAAAGTTCCAGAAGAAACGCTACTGTGCAAAAGCAAATATCATCATACAAGCATAAGCCATCAAAGTCACAAAAGCAAAGTCCTAAAAGCCAACTCAAAGAGAAGCAAAGACACAACATGCAAAGACACGAAGAAAAGCTCAACCTCTAACTTTAAGTGAGAGAGCGAGAGCGAGAGAGAGGCAAGACTTATGCTTGCGCTCTACTGCTTTGCGGCTCTGCTGCTCTGCTGCTCTCTTGGGCTGCTTTTGCGGTGACAACGTGCAGAGCATGCGCAAAGCGCAAAGCCGCTGCCGCTGCCGATGCCGATGCCGTCGAAGCGGCAATAAACCTGTTTCGAGTGGAGCATGCGCATGCGCGGTGGCCGCAGACGAACCAAAATTAGCGACGAAGAGAGCTTTCGGGGGTAGAAAAAGCAAAGGCAAAAGGCAAAAAGCAAAAAGCAAAACCGAATTCCCATTTTTGTGCCAACCTCGCGAGTTGGCCAATACGATCTGCAACTTCAGACTTCAGACTGCAAGCGGTCAGCCAGGTGAACGGCAGCGAACACAGCCCCTCTCGCATAAAGTAAGTGGGCGTGGCAAATACCGAGTGCATATCTATTTCTATTTGTGTGTGTGTGTCTTATGTTTTTTTTTTTTGCCCGTGTGTGCTGCAGTGAGAGATGTACAAATTACATATATAAAAATCATAATAAATCAGAGTTCCAATGGAATATTAAGTGCATATCGGGCTTCAAAAAATGTTTTGCCAAGTGCCGGAAAAAGTGCTGCAAAGTCAATGAATTCCTGCGGAAAAGTGCTGCCAAGCGACCAAACATATTCGAAAACTTAATCATTTTTAAAAAGAAATTAATGCAAAATCAGTTATAAAATGAGCAAAAACAACTATAAAAATTTCCACAAGACACAAACACAGATGGAGAGACGCAGACACACACACACACACACATGTAAAACAAAGAAAATTGCAATGAACAAATTGCTAGTGTTTGTGTGTGTGTGTGTGTGGATTTGTATCTGTGTTTTTGCGTCAGTGGCAATATTTATTGTTAATTTAGGGAATAAATTTCTTTACATCAAATTTATAGAAAAAACAAATAAAAATCAATAAGAGAAAAACTGGAAAAACCATTGAAGATTTCTGTGGATTATTTTGGCAGATATTTTTGGAGACCCAGAAAAGGGTACGTTCCTCAGATATGTACATGTACCTACGATTAAAAATATTTATAGATACCTACGAGTAGATAAGTCAAACACCTCCGTGTAGAGCCAACACCTTTTCCACAAAGCACAAAGCCTCCTCCTCGATCGACCATATCCGAGCATATCTCTCATGGCCAAAATATACAACCAGCGTTTTGCAAACTCAAAAATGATCTCAGGCGTTGCTAATTATTGCTTTGCGCCTTGTACAATACCTAGGTAGTATATTGTTAGCCGCCCCCCTCACTTGGGGGCTGGCCCTCCTCTTTGTTAGCCCCGTGCTACAGTTTGTTGGCTGTTGTCTGCGCATCTTCAGCGAACACCAAACACCAAGGCAGCAACAGCAGCACCAGCAGCAGCAACACCACGAATATGGCCAACAAAACTGAGCCAAGATTTTACTTTCATCATCGCGACCATCAAGCGACCAACAGGCAACAAACAGCAGCAGCAGCAGGCAGCAGCAACAAATGAAATTTTGAAATTTTACTTTCATCCATCTCTCGTCTCGTCTCGTCTCGTATCGTCCCGCCTCGTCTCGTCTTGAAAAACGACGTTTTGTGCATTTTATTTGGCCGCTTTTCACTCTCCATTTCTTTGGTCTTTGTACTTTTTTCACAATTACGAAAATATAGCACTAATATTTTGTTAATTGCATCCAGTATGCTGACGAGTACTCGTACAGTGTTTCTTGGTTTTCTCTTGGGAAACTGAACCCTCTTCGGCGGGTCAGGCAGAGAGTCCACATCCACATC